AAGAATGACCAGAAGACATTGTCCATGCACTAATACTTCCCAAATAGGCTACCACATGTGGGATGATCAGTAATTCCAAACAAAAGCTATCTAAGCTTATGTAAAAAACATAAGTCATCAGCATAGAAAACCTGTTATGTTAACCAGGGACATTAGTCATAGATCATATTAGATGAATACCCTTTGTACTTTCCACAAGTGTGAAGCCAAACCATTATTGGCAGAATAATATCCCAAATAAACAGCAAGAATCTCTCCAGGATTTAATAACAGAACAGAAATATAGCACTAAAAGGGACAAGAGGTTCTGAACAATTAGGATCAAGGATCCACAATATGCGTAATCAATAAAAATTAAGGCAATACTCCTTTTAAAAAATAAGTCATCACATAGGATAAAAGATTAATGTATATAAACTGGAAAAAGAATGGAGAAATGAACAGAAAGCAGGTGAGGCTGACCGATCATAATATTCAAGTTCCACAAAAATAAACTGGACATGAATAAAATGGCACTCAGATTCTCACAACTAACCAAAAACTGTCCAATATCTAACAAAAAAATCGAAGAAATTTTTACAACTATAATGCTACAAAACATTTTTAAAAGCCCCAGAATAAACAGTATAAAAACTTGAAAAATAAAACCAAGAAAGTCTAATATTGACAGAGGCTTCAACACAGGCAAAGAACTACATAATTATGACAAAGTCAAAAGCGCTCAATAGAAAAGAACTTTGATTGGAAGTTCATATTCTAACATTAAAACTAATTAATGTACTTAGAATAAAATGGCTTAAATTTTCTGGGAGTTATACTATTAACCTTCAGTCCTATCAGAGCTTCACTCCGCAATATCATTACTAAATACCAGAAAACGGGATTTAGAACCATACCAGAGTGATGATGAGGGAACACCAACACAAAGGATTCCATGTTGGTGTCACCAATGGTCCAACACAAACTAACCCTACAATAGCTCCCAATAAGAATCAGTTAAATGATACAAGAGAAATAAGCACACTGATGGTAGATCAAGCTGTTATCCCAATAATTTATCACTTAATGAACCAATAAGTGTAATGTTAAACATTATGAGAGTTAATGAAGCTTTAATGTAACTTAATAACCTAAACATGTATATGAACTCCCATAGACTAAATTCCCAATAAGCGCGTATGGCAAGGACAGCCCAATGTGTCGTAATAATCACTCCTCCAAATATCTGTTCAATCTTAAGGTCAGATTAGCCACTATCTGCATCAATCATATGGGAAGAAGAAACTTATTGCAGATAACTATCCATTTAAGATAACAATTCAGATGACCCAGCAGGTTCTATATATACAGTTTTTAATGCTAAATCTATATGACATCCAAATGGATTTTGAGAGGTGAAATTGTGCCAACCAGTTTCTTAAGTTGAAACTAGATCCCAGCAAATGCTAAAACACAAAGAATAAATAATTGCATCAACAAGCTCCCTCCAGTGTTCACTTCACATGTTAGACTCAATCTCAGCCAGCTACACTGTGCATGGCAAAAAGATCAGCACAAAACAAAATTTCTGGATTAATAAGATCTAAAGCAGAAAAAATCAATTGCGGAACTTACAAACTGATCCAATCCTCATAAAATCATAATATTTGGGTCATAAGCATGTTCAAAATACCAAAGGGAGTAACCAGTACAACATTAGGGATATTGTGGCCCACCATTAGCCAAAAATATAAAGTCAGCAATAGTTCGACCGGAATTAGTATCCACAACTTACATGACACAGTGGAAAAATTGCACACCCAGATAGACTACAAAATACATATCTAGAACAATTGTACAGTGTAAATGCAAATAACCAGCATAAAACTCAAATCCATAAAATAAAGAGAATGAAAAAGGAAGAGAAACCCAATTTAGAGACAGAGATGTAGTATTATGCACAACATAAAATGCAAACTGAAAATATAACTAATTGTCAAGGAAAATGTTTTAACAATAACAAGAGATAAAAGTCTCCAAAGGCTAATCAGAAAATGATACAGATTAATTGAGCACTAAAAATAAAACTAACACAAAGCCCTGCAAGAAAGAAAATTAATACCAGAGTAAAATACAAAAAATGTAAGCCTAGTAACCAGGTCGATTGACCTAATTTGAGTACAAAATATGACCACTAGGAATATTCAAAATAAGTAACAGCCATGCAACAGGGAGCCTCAACATATCAACAAAAACACCAAAATCTGATAGGAGCACGTAGAGGTGTGGCAATTAAATGCATTGACAGAAAATGGAAGTTCAAATAGCCATGGAAAACTATACATCCTAGAGAATCACATCTACTGTGGCTTACTCCTCCTGAAGTTAACAATCTCTGATTACAAATACATGAGAAAGGCGTACAAGCCAAATTTTTAGGCAAACACCAATTAAACATACCTCACTAATAACTTCAGCTACCAACTGTTTTGCAGCTTCAATTTGTTCAGTAGTCCCGTCAATCTGTAGCGTCCTTTCTGTTGATGTGTCACCAGGTGGCAGATGCAAGGGAATAACCTAAAAAAATATAATGTCAGCTCACAAAACCATTTCCTATATTTGATTCCACCCAAACACATTACTGAAAACGATATACTAGAAAAGTTGTGGGTACAACATACTGTGAAGAAAAATGATAGAAGAATACATCAAGTTCCAAAAGAAGACAGAGACAAAAACCTTAGAAAAGACCAGTATTCTGCCCAAGATTGAAAACAAACCTGGATACGAGCTCCAGTCCTAGCTTGCATACTTTTTATTGTTTCACCTCCTTTACCAATTACAAGCCCAACCTGAGATTACAGTCACGAATCCTCAATAACCAAATAACTAGAACATTTTCATAATGTGGAAAAATTATATAGCCAGTACCTTGTTGTTAGGAATTTTTGTAACATATTGTTCACCGCCAGCTTGCACTGTTAACCTTCTAGAAGCTATGGCAGGACCTCCTGATTCAGCCTGGGACAAACATAAAAGCTTATACATGTAAGCCATATTTCCAAGTTCATATGTACAAATTTGATAAAACTCAACTATCTAAATATGGAAACAAAGGATCACAATGTGGCGGATTTAGAACTTATGTGTAAACTTTTGACTATATCACAAGCAGGTAATTGATAAAACTAATCTAAAAATTAAATGCACAAGCCGAACCTCAGCAAGAACTTCATTGATCAAGTGCTCAGCCTTTGCAATCTGCTCCGGAGTACCCATGAGCTCCACCATCCTAGTCGGAAAATTGAGGTCCGCATCAGAATCTCGGGTAACTTGAATCTTGGCTCCCGACTGAGTCTGTAGATACTTGATAGTCTCCCCACCTTTACCAATAATGACACCAACCCTGCCATTGGGAACCTCAATCTTTTTGCTCGATCCCTGGAAACCACCGTAAGATACCGGGATTGAAGAAGGAGCTGGGTTTGAGAAGTGAGGCTTCAAATCTGTATCGTTTTCACAAAATCACAATTACAATTGCTGCATTCAGATTCACATTCACATCATAAACATGTATAATCAAAGACAAATAGCAACGTGAATCGCCCTAGAACAACTAAACCCAATTGAATTCTTGGATGTCAAGCATATTAAAAAAAGAATAAACAAGGATAAAAATTTAAAGTACAAAAATTAAAGGAAAATGGAAAATTCTAAAGAGGGAAGGTGAACCTGGCGGACCAGAGCTAAAGCCCTTGTCAATAGAATCGGAGCCACCATTGTCAACCCTAGAGCGCTTAGCATCCCCGCCGTTCAACAACCGAGCCGCGATCTCCTGCGCCTTCTGCTTGGCCAGCTGGAAATCTTCCATGGGCGGAGGAACGCTGCTGTACGACGTCGGCGCAGAGTCGGGGGACGATGACTTGATGGGGGCCGAGAAGCCGGTGACTCTGCGGGTGGACGGCGGCGTTTGCTCCTCGTACTTCCGCTTGTTCCCTGAATCTGGACCGGATGAGTACTGGGCTTCGTCGGCCATTGTCGTAGCTGTAGAGGAAGAAACCCTAGAAGATAGAGAGAGATGGGAGAGAGAGAGGAGAGTGAGGTGGAAAAACACCAGTGGGATATTTATACGGACGGAGACTTTTTTAGCGTTTGCGTATGGGAATAAGGGTCTATAAACTTTTCCAGACGGAAAGCGGGTCTTGAGTAAAACTGTAAAATGTGAAAAGAATTGTGAGATTTATAATTTTTATTTTATTTCTTCCGCACTCGGTTAATTTTTGTGATTTAATACTTTTTAATTTATATTGATTTGAAATTCAAAATTTAAGAACCGTATGTATAAAGTAAAATAGAAGTGTGCGCCAACTTATTTTTTGTTCAATTAGTTTTTATTTATTTTATATTTTTATGAGGTAAACTACAAGTGAAATGTAAAAAAAAATTACAAGAGAATAATATTTGTATATGGTAACATAACAAATTATGGACCGTTACTTACAATTATGGCTATTTTTGTGTGGCGGGAACATCATATAAGATTTACGTTTAATTGGTACGATCACCAGCATAAGTGAAGAAGAAACAATTTAAATGCTTTCAACGCAATCATTTTTTGAAATTGTGTGCTGGGGTTGTTTCAGCCAGTTTTGGCCATTCTATTACCACATATTAGAGACAGCTTGACCGAAAACTTATGTGATAATCCTTAGTCTCTTGTTTGTTGACTGGGATTGGACAAGATTAGGAAGTTAGGAGTTCGAGTTCAAATCTCATGTGTCGGAAGGTCCCAGATTTGAGTCCCAAGCTTCCGAAGGTCCCGATCCTCGTCCCCGGCGTTAGGGGTTTGGGAGATGGGGTTCATGTCCTGCACATCGAAGTCCTCGGGCGCCTAGTTCACCAGGTTGGGTCCTCAACACCTAAGCTCAGAGTCAAGTCTTCGAACCCTCGGACCCAGTCTCAGGCAACAACATTTCCAACAATAATATGACTACTTGAAACTGAAATCATGAACTCAAGGGTTTACAGAAAAAACATGGATACATTACTTAATCCCGGGTTAAACAAAAACTATGAGCAGCTTCCAACAATCAATCGAACAAGTTGATAAACATGGGAGATTAGTTCAAGCACACAGTTTGAAACAGAAAAAAGTTTTACAGAATCTTTGGCTACTGTTATAGCTCCAAAACGACGGAAATATGCAGCAAGCGCAACACAGGACACCCTGGGACCTAAAATTTATAACTTGTAAGTGCAAAATCTCTCCCTTTTCATGGTGCTTAGCCAGGGCAAACCAGCCCGGATAGACTTATTATTGGATTAGATATCGCGAAAGCAGGCCCCCAAACACAAGATGAAAGTCCTCACTTGGTCCACCAAAGGAGGAAATCCTTGCGCCGGTTGATCTTCTTCTGTAGCTGGAGAAGGCCGTAAAGTAGGGCCTCAGCAGTGGGAGGGCAGCCTGGAACATAGATATCAACGGGGACGATCCTGTCACAACCCCTAACAACGGAATAGGAGTAATGATAGTAACCACCCCCATTTGCACAGCTTCCCATGGAGATGACCCATCTCGGCTCAGGCATTTGGTCATAGACCCTGCAACAAAATTTCAGCACAAAGATCACAACAACTCATACCCATTTGTTTACTTGTGCAAACATTACAATAACACGTAAATTGAAAGGTTGGTGAGGAGCTTTTAACTCCCAAAATCAAAGGCAATTATGCACTTCCCAGAAGAAATTCCTAAGAAATCCAATCCATCCAAAGTCACACAAGTCAACACAAAGTAGTTTTTTCTTCGATACAAGCAAATATTGTGGAGGACAAATCCCATCCATCCAACGACAGACAATCCTCTTTAACTATTTCAGCTACAACCCCCTTGCAAAACTAGTTTTTGTTACCAAGAGCTAATACATTGTTTATATTCGAGCCATAATCTATTCTAATCTAACCATGGGAAGCATACCGCTCTAACCAACTTGGCTAAGCAGCATAACCAGCAAGCACTTTCATTGGTAAAATTCATGCAAATGCAAATATAAAATAATCAAAGTTGGTTCTCAAAATTCTCCTAATAACAAACTGGAGGAGAAGGGTGGATATGTTATTCCCATTTTATCGGAGATTTCCTTAAAATTGAGCTAAATCAAAGCTCCAATTATTCCAAGTTGAGATTATATTAGGTATATACAAATCTAATTATCGCCAAAACATTTTCTAAGCTCAAAAATCCAGAAACCCTAAAACTGCGATTCGGAAAAATGAGAGGGAAGGAAGGGCTTGTTGCTTACTTGCGGAGAGCAGGGGCCATCTTGTTGGTGAGAGTGCCGGCGACGATCATGCAATCGGACTGGCGAGGGCTGGGCCGGAAGATGATGCCGAATCGGTCCAAATCGTAGCGGGCGGCTCCGGTGTGCATCATCTCGACGGCGCAGCAGGCGAGGCCGAAGGTCATGGGCCAGATGGAGCCGCGGCGGGCCCAGTTCATGAGATCGTCGACCTTCGAGATCACGAACTCGGCGGCCTTGGAGAGGCCCGGCGGGGGCGGGGAGGCGGAAGGGGGAGGAGGGCGGGCATAGGTGGCCGGAGTGGAGCCGGAGGGGGCGGAGGACGAGAGGGAGGGGACGGTGGTGTGGAGAGAGAGGGCCCGCTGGGCCGAGAGCTGGAGAGGGATGCGGGCTCGGGTCAGCAGAGCCATGACCGTGGCGCTTCGGAGAGAGAGAGAAGAGTTATAGAGGAAAGCTGAAATTTTAGCCAGAAGCTGCTTTCTCCATGTGTGTTTTGCATCCGGCGTAAATCACAATTTCCAATTTTCATAGGATTAGGTTGCTAATTGGGATTATACCCATTTTTGGACTTGTACAATGCGCTTTTTCCTAAATGTTGTGCGATAAATAGATTTAGAGGGCTTTTTGGGTTTTTAACAATATATTTACATTAAGAATAAATTAGTTGCGATATCATTGTTTTCGAGATTCGAAATTAATAACTCTTACTTACAAGTAAAAAAAAAAATACTAAATTATGGTAACAAGTGACTAGAATTTTTTTTTTCAATAATTCGGAAAATTTTAGCAATACCTCAGACTTTATACCTAATCCCGGTTTGCTTTCTGAATTTTCAATTTGGTTATGAGTCATTTTCAATTCATCGCTAGTGTCAATTCCAAAAATTATTCCGTCAGATTGAGAGTTGCTTTCATCAGTTCAATTGAAGGAGAAAAAAAAAACAAACAAACAAATGTAATAAATTTGATGGTTGATGGCAAATTGCACATATTCAAAGGAGCTTGAAAACACAATTAAAAGTCGCTGGGGAAAATTAAAAGAAGATGCTAATTTCTAAATTGAGGGGGCATTGCTAATTTGCCTAGTTTTAATGTTAAGTTAGTCAAATAATAGTAACTAGTTAACCATACATGAAACCGACTGACCTAGATATTGTTCCAATTGTATTATTACACTCAATGAGTTGGTGCACAGAATTATGTTCCCGACACGCTGAAAACATTTCTCCACACCTAACGTCTATCCCATAATAAGAGCTTCATCTGTACGATGTGGGAGAAACACTTCCAAGCATCGTTGCACAAAACAAATCTCTCAAATAATATAAAAGATCGTGCTACTCACATCATGCTGCAAATGTGACACTTGTTTCACAGAAGAAAGGCCCGAGCCAAATCCAAGGAATTTAATTTACCATGGTAAACCTAAAAAAGGGAACGAACTCACCGCGGTCAAATATAAACAAAGTGAAAATTTTACCATATACAGTTATACTTAATAAAATAGTGGTTTAAGAACAAGGTAAAAGTTTGTTACAGTTCCTAGCCCCCAAGGGCAACACTAATGTCAGCACAAACTAAACAAAAGAGGCACCTAATTCAACAAAAGTAGTCCATATGCTTCGATATCACGCCGACCCCCGAATAATATAGAGATGATCAGTTTACCTACACCAAAAACATTTACCTAAACAATAAACACCCAAAAACCAGACGAATTAAGACCGAGGAATTAAGTCTAACATGGAGTCTTCACTGTCCAAAGGAACCAATACTTGCTAAGGAAAGAAAATCAGCAGACTCTGAAAGAGGGGGAAAGAATGGTTAGAGTAAAAACAGTGATAAAATTTCACAAACCCTTTTAACTTTAGTTCAAATAATACAAGGTTGAAGGCCCCGGTATCAATCAGCGCTGATGGCACCATTACAGCTTCTCCCCGCTTCAGGATCTAGGACCCAATTGGTTTCTACTGTGGCAGCAAAGCAGATATTGACCAGGTAATCTTTAGGTAGGGGGATCAGCTAATATCACATCTCTTCAACTAACAAGACACTATGAGGACAACAGCATTCTCCTTTCGAGTTACCTTAAACAGCAAGGTTTCGCCCGTATGGGTGGGGTAGATACTACTTTCTTCTTGCAAATGTTGACATCAGCCAAAATGCTTCCTGATTTTGCAGTTAGGTAGGGTGCAGCTTAACATCACTAGCTGGAGAACAAGGCAAGGCAAGGCAGCCTTTTGTCAATAGAAATAGGAAAAGCTTTGCCTGCCAAGACATACAACTTTCCATACTATTTTTATGCATAGTACATGTAAAGGCTGTTTGAAGCAGCACAGGCGATTGAATTCTCAGAAGGGTGCCATGCAAGATGTAGCAACTTTGTTGTGAAATCAAAAGAATTTCCGTTTGCGTCAGCTCCAGAGTTATCCGCACCTTTTATATTCCAATGGAAGAAAATATGTACAGACACTGGTTAGCAGATAGACTACCATCAAGTACCATACCTAATCGATTCAAATCTGAATTTTATTCTCTTTTACAAAAAAAGTTTCAGTTCATTCGAGACTCCGAATGGAAATCAATTATGTTAAATTTTACCAAGACCACTCAATTTTCAGAAAATGGACTATGTATACAAAATTCATATGCAAGCAAGAACATACCTCGCCTGAGAACACGAGGAAGACTGCCCAAAGATCTAGAAGGCCTTGCTGGCATTTGAACTTGTCTCCTGGAAGTTCATGAGAAAAATAATAAGCACATTTGACCAAGAGAACAAAAAAACCAAAAAAGAGTTTTTCTTGGACTAAATGATACCATTCCCTAAAAAGAGCATGCCTAAGAAGCATTATATAGAATTTGAAAAATACCTCATGGGGTTTTTGCTGGCCTCCAATGTTGTTGCTTCTGTGCTCCCTTCAGAACAACCAAACACCCGAAACAGATTGCTGGAATCACAGAAATGTGTTTCTTCATATGTTGAGCCCCACACAACTTAGGTCACGGTGCAAGTATAAAAGCAACAAAGGATGTTTATGGTCTACAGCTAACCTGTAAGAACCTGTTGCCACTCGGTGTCCATCTCCACTTAGACAGCACTCAAACTTATCGAAGATGGAATCATTTTCGTATAAATCACAAAGCTGACAAAGATAAAGAACTAAATAAGTTGCATTGTACGGTATTACTTAAATAGTATTGTCTTCTTTTAAGATTATATGCGAAACAAACTTTTTGAAGGAATACATCACCTTTGGTCTTAGATATTCATGAACCTGGAAAGTTGCAACTGGGCCAGAATCCATGTTGATGTCCCATAACTGAGAAAACCGGGAAAAAAAGGTGAGAACAGAATTTGTAATGGACAGGGTTAAGAATCCGAAAAATCTTAAGACAAGAAGTAGCCGCAATCCACAAACTCACCACAAGAACAAATTGAATATCATGATATAAAGTATTCACTCTAAACATCACAGTAACAACAATAGCATATTTTAGCAATCCAGTGTCAAGAAACAGAGAGAGAGAGAGAGAGAGAGAGAGAAGGTTTTTAAGCATTTGTTACTGCAACTCTGTTAGTAGGTCTATGACACGAAGTTTCAAAATATTGAAAGTATGAACCATCTTTTTATAAGAGTCTGAATATGTGAACCTTAAGAGACATGTAATCCCGACTGAGTATATGTCTTCCATTCTTAGCAAACTTAATATCTGAAATCGATGCTATTATTTCAGTGAAAAAAGATCTTGAACCGGGTGCTTCTTGTTCTTCAAACCTGCACCATTATAACTCATAATTAGGATTCAAGGGAAACCAAGAAATTAAAGAGGGCTAAAAGTGTCAAAGGATTTTTCATACATTTATTTTATTACAATACTACATCATCTTTGGTGAGTGCAAGAATGGAAGGGAGGAAGAATGAAAGACAACTCACAATTTGCTATGAGTGTCACATAAAGCTGACTGCCGCAGATCGATAAGACGAATTGAGCCTTTGGAGCTACTGTACGCCAACATGTTACAATGAGTAGGGTGAAATTCTGCGCATGTTATCACCTCTGCACATAAATTTCAAGTATGTAAAGATAAATAATTACACATGTGGAGCTGTTTGACCAACAAAGCATATAAATAAGGCATAATTCAAGTTTACTACATGGCCAGAACATTTCAGCCATATAGAAACAGATGAAATCTATGACAGACGTGATAGCATGCCACTCAATGAAACGTTCACCAGGATATGACTGAATGGCAGACCAGGAGCCTTGTAACAAGCCTAGATACTTGGGTCAAGGTTATATCTACTGCTATTTCTCTTCAAATGACAGTCAAAAGTTAGAAAAGTAAGAAATTGTCATCATAGTGTTGTGGGTTTTACCAGTTAGATCCTCCATGTTTGCAGGCTTCACGTCAACAATATTAAAACTTTGATTGCTAATCTCTAGGTTCCAAAGATTAATTCGCAGGTCATCAGCTGATATAAAAGTTTCACCATCGCTGCAAAACCAAAAGATAGTTACATTAGTGACCAGACGATGGAGACCATGGTAGATAATATCCATGCAACAATACCAAAGTATATATTACATAATACATAAAAGTAAGATTCGACATTGAAAATAAATCTGACAAATATTGTTCCAGTGTCAACGTTTACAACAGAAACTGTTTTTTTTTCTTTTGGGGGTTGGGGAAGTCCAGCAACTAAAATTTGCTCCTCCATGATCACGTAATCAAATAATAAAAATGTAAGTTCAAATAGGAGCACAAGCATCAAGGCAAACAATGAATATACACAACATGATTTAAAAATTGATGAAAAGGTGAAGGCGTATTCCATTGAATAAAAGATGTACCTGTTATTTGAAATCGAATTAATATGATAGTCATGGGCATGGGTATACACTCTTCGACATCTAGCCACAAGGCTCGTCTCTTGACTGGTCACCTGGATGCCACAAAAGTTCAAGTGTTAGAGCTAAATAATAGAATGTCATTCACCAAGAAAGTTAACCATAATTGACTCTGGAAAATTTTCTAAATACCATAACAGCAAAACCATATGCTATTAGAAAATAAACAAATCGAATTGTGTACAACTACCACTGGCAAGTGCAGAGATGGAAATGAAGTGTCATTGCTTGGAGAACTGATTGGGCTCTCTTTACATGCTCCATTTGCAAGATACGGTTTTGAGCTTGCTGACATAGAACTAGCAACTGATCCATTTTCCATAGATTTAGAAGCATCCACATTCATCTCACATACTTTCTTTACCTTCTTCTCTTGGACCTGCTCAGCATTAGGACAGGATTAGAATGTTTCCTTCCATACGAAAAAAAAAATTTAAATAATTACATCTTAAGTCGTTGTACCACCTATTGGAAGCCATAATAAGTCATGCACTACACTCTGCATGTGCGTATGTGTGTGTTCATCCCAAGAATGAGGTATAAAATGAAATGGCTGGAGTAATCGCCATCTTTGTTCTGAACAATATATAAATGGAAAACGTAACGCAACTAATGTTGCTTAAAAATTACTCTGGCCGATGTGATATCGAGAGAAATCATCTTCCATATAATCTAACCACATACGAGTTCAAAAAAGGTTGGTGCTACCTTCCAGTATTTGATGGTTTTGTCATTAGTGGAGAGAAGAAACAGTGCACCATTAGCTGTTTGACACCATCTGATCTTGTTGATTTTTTCCTCAATTTCCAAACTCTTAAGATAATCAAACTGAGTTTTGAAAAAAGAAGAAAGTGCAAGTTAGTGAAATCCAGATTCTGGCAAAGAGGAAATCTTTATAAGCCTATCTACAGTCCTAGTTGAGCACAAAGAAAGCCATACCTCAGGTTCATGACTTTGAAATTCGGTTTTATAGCGGAACTCAGGATGCCTACTGATTGAATAATCCATCCTCTCCAGATCTCTCCGATGTCCACCATGCTACAAATTTAAGTTTATACAATAAAAGTAGAAATAAATCACACCAGTGTAACAAAATACAACAACAGAATAAGGATAAAGATAATGCACTCCCACCCCCAACCCCCTCATGATAAAAATGTATTAACTTACATCCTTTATATCCGTTCTTTCAAACAATACCACCCGGCCTCCACGATCTCCAGTCGCAAGGTGGTCCCCAGTTCTATCGAATTCAATAGCCGATATTATATCAACTGCAAAACATTAGCATGTACACAAGCTAAGTAGTTGTGTATGTTGGTGCACCAAAGCACACTACTCAACACCTTCAAACACCCACTAAGTATCGTTTTCAAAGCTTCAAAAGCAGGCATTCAAGTGAGTCCATTGATTGAAAGTGATACGATTTCCAGTTCACTTATTTCTCAAATCCAAGTCCTTAAAGTTTAAAACATATCTCCCTACATGCCTCCATCGAAACAATATGTTCGAAAATGAATCCCTATACTAATCAACTAAATGTAGTGATTTAAAAATTAAACGAAGATTAAAAACAATTAGACAGCCTCCAAATGTATAGCTTCATCAATTAATAGCCACAAACCATTAGCCAATAATGTAAGGTTCATTTGGAAGTGCTTTTAAAATGACTGAATGCGTTTTAGAGAAAATGTTTTTGTGTTTCAAAAGCACTTGAAGTGCTTCATGCAAGAAGCAACAGTTATGTGATTTCCAAGATTCACTTGTATTTTTATTAAGCATTGGTTTCAAAAACATTTTCAACGAAAACACTTTTAATAATTTAAAATGCACTTCTAAACTATACAGCTCAAGTGCTTGGGTCATCAAAAAACCAAACTTTTTCGATTAAATTTCATTGGCGTCTTATGATTCTCATCATTCAATACACAATTTCTGCAACTAATCGTCCGATAAATTTATTTAAGATTAAATTAATTAGAATTAAATGTAATGAGAGAAACGAAAGCAATAGTGAATCCCCGACAATACGAAACGAAAATTAGAGGAAGAGTATTACTATTACCTTCCTGAACTTCTTCGCCGGCTGTCCTTTCTCCGAAGACCTGCGAAAACTTCCACTCGAGCGGCGATACGGCCGCCCCTGACGTCGCCGGAGCCGCGAGGCCCTCTCCACCGCCGTTCATTTGTTTTATTCCAAAAAAAAATCGACAAGGAAATGAGCCGAGAAAAAGAGAAGAGAAATCAATGCAGAGTAAATCGATCTGAGAAAATCGGATTTGCGTGAATCTCAGGGATTCGGAGCAATCTACATCGGAAAATCAATGCAGTCTCTTCCTTCTTCTTCGTCCATTCCAAGCCTTACGCGTACGGTCCTCACAGCGACGGAATTTCCACTCTCTCTGATTCTTTCTCTCTGATCTCTCTTTTTTTTTTTTTTTTTTTTTTTTTGTGCTGAAAATAGAGGGGAGGAAAATGACGCAGCAGGACGTAGCTTTTTAGATGATTTGTCGTGGATGTCTAAATAATTCAGACTCCCCACATTATTGATGTTTTTTTTCTTTAAAAAAATCTAATGAAATATTTCTGGTACTGTTTACTTTTAACGTTAAGGATATTTTTACTCACTCTAATACAATTCATTTACATCTTTATTTTGTCAATTTCTTTAAAAACTAAAGTTTTTGAGAACTTTTCATTAGTTTTCCTTCTTTTTTAGGTTACGGTTTAAGTTGCTCTAAATTACAGTAAATGATATAATTTATTGTCCTAGATTATTATGACAAAAAATGTTTACGTTCATACATTTTATTGTAGAAATTTTATAATTGAAATGGTGTAAATTTCTTTGTCAACGTTTAAAAATCATATTTGTTTTAATTAATTAAATTCACAATCATTTAGTTTTTAATAATTGTTTCGTCACGCATATATTTAAACAAATTGACAATTCAGTGTCAGAATGTTAGTTATTACCAACGTAATTTTACACACAATTAAGTTATCGTCAATTTAATTGTTTTTTTTATTTTATAGGGATAATATTTATATGATTATTGAGAATATAAACAATTTTGATGATATAAAATATATCAAACAGAATCGAATTGACAATTAGATGCGTCACCAGAGTAAAAAAAAAATTTATTGTGACGAAAATACGATTCGATACATCAAATATCATAATATTATTAATTGAAATTTTTTTATTCAAATTTCCAACTATTGTATCATGGCCATTGTCGTACCAAAAAAAACTCCCAACCGAGTAAACCCAAGTATTTTCATTATTTATTTCATCTCTTCATCTTTTTGTGTTTATGTTTTTTGAGGAATATTTGGTTGTAAAATTTGGAACTTTATTAAAGCAATAATAATGAAATAAAAGTGGTAAGTGATATATTTAGATGTGATAACTATTGAAAGGGACAGGAATAATATTATATCCTTTTATATAATTTTTTTTTGTCTAATCTCTCAACTTTATGGATATGGTCGTGTGAAATCGGCGTAGCATACAATGTAGCTGTTTTTCTTTGATCCAACGTTGTTTGTTGGTTTGTAGCCAAAAACAAAAAAAAAGGTAAAATCAACGGTGGATGTTTTATCATTAGAGAAATGTTGAGAGGGCTTTTTTTAAGATAGAACTATTCATAAATTTTTTGTCACTTTACAATTTAATGTTAATTTTGATGTTAATATTATAAAAAAGTGTGTCAAAAACTTGAGGCGGCGGATAATACATGGAGAGACTCACTTGAAAGAGCCCATTTAGCATTTCTTATCGTTGTGAGCAAAATACTGGAATATATTTTGCTTTTGCTTTCTTGTAATCAAAATTTAATCAAATCGAATAGTTTTGAAAGAATCAGTCTTTATCCATTCATGATTGATGTGTGTATTTGCAAACAAAAAAGTTGATGGATGTTTTTTTGTATTCTAATGGAAAATATGTTACCGTAATTTTTTGATTCGCTCTTAAATTTAATCTAAATTTCATATATGACATATAAAAATGTCGTGTATTTTTCGAATTTGGATGGGTTATTTGATCAATCCTAACCAAATTCATTGATTAATTGTACTTAACAATTTAACCAAAAGTTAATCATTGTATTATTCTTTTTGTTGAAGTTAAGGTTTGAATTAAGATTCGACCTATCCCTAATCTCACATCACTTGTGTTAAGTAACGTTCATGATGAGACTCACAACACGTAATCTCACATCACTTGCAATTAGAAATTGAACCATTCAGTATCGCTCGCAGCTTAATTCGGTCAATGTCAAGATATATTTAAAATCGTATAAATTTTTTCTTATAAATTATTTTTCACGAATTGAACAATTGAGATTTAATTTTCAACGTTTACTTTTTTATTTTAATGCGGAACTCTCAATTTTTGTTTTCTATTTTTAATTTGAGGAAATGAGTCGGCACTTTAAAATTGATATTTAACCACCCAATCGAATCTTTGAAGCAAAGCTTTTGACCCATTTAATATGAGCCTGGCCCACAGGATTTTGGGTTGGGCCTGTTTCAACCATATCTACTGACAAAAATACACGTCAAATCTGATTAGAGGTCGTCTTTATGATCGACAGAAGCCATCGGGCTTTTCAGTGGGGTCATAATTAATTCTTATGCCCTGCACCACAAGCAATGCTCATGCAAACTTTTGTTAGTGATTTAGGCTTAGCAACAAGAGGAAAAGCAAAAGTAAATAATTTGCCTTGGAGTGAATTCTGTATAGTTTTTGAATTCCGATGATACTTTGGTACTCATTAGTGAGTATAATTTTGTTGAATGATATATTAAAACTATTATTTTGACAAATAATTGGCATGATATTTAAAATTTTTGAATTTTAAAAATACAAACACGTGACATTTTTTAATTGGGCCGATTCATGGATAAGTACTCTACTCTGATATGGTTTAATAAAAAAAACGTGACGTGTTCTTTGTTTTCTACAGTCCAATAAACATTAATAATATATCTATTATTTTTAAAAATTATAAAATACGTGTTAAAATATTATTGGACAAAATTAAAAAATTATTATCTTATTTATAATTCTACTATCGTCGTTGCGTTGACAAATATGACGACCGACGCATGCCAAAGGTGCAAGTTAAACTGATCGACAATCTAACGTGCAGTTCGTTGAAAATAAAGTGTCCTTGTTTCTTTTGGATAAGCTGATCGACAAATATAACATACTATTATTATAAATAAAATAAGGTATCCTACCAAAATATAAGTTTATTGGCAAACGATACGATGATATACTGTGCTAAATGTTTGTGCTTAACAAGCCTAACATTTGACCCAAAAGAAAAAAACCACCAACAGATTGCCCTTTCGCCCTGGCAGCATCGACGGTAGCGATCATCTTCTCTAGGAATTTTATGCTTGTTCTGGTGCTCCCCATTACAGAGGAGAAGATAAAAGTTGATTTTCTTTTATTACTATCAAGACTTAAGATGAATACTAAAATCAGTTGTTTAGGAGTGCGACATTAATAAAATAAAAGAAACCAAACCAAACAAAACCAAATCCAAAAGAAAATCGAACTTAATTGAATCGAAAGTAGTTTAGCTTTAATTTTGGCAAAAAATCAAACCGAATGAAACGGAAACCACCCCCATCCACAAGTCAAACTATAACAAAGTTTGAATTTCAAAAAGTAAAATTGTGACTTTTGAGTTAAATGAGATAAAGTGGGATCAAAATCAAGTTCCATAAACCGTAGCTAAAAAACAGCCTAAAATTTATACAAAGACATATGTCTATAGAATTGTGTCAATATTAGTTGCACATGGCATGGACGAATTCTGCTATGTCAAAGTAATAAACAGCACAGTGCTATGCTAACACATTCATGCACTACCGGCGCTAGCATGCAGTTTTCCTTTTTTTTTTAATGGAAAAATAATTTCATTCAAAGAGAAAAACCACAAATTCAACCGCTACCAGTACAATCGAAGAGAAAAGCATTTCTAGTAGGTAAAGTCCTATCCCAAATAAAAGTATCATGAATAGAGTGCCCTACTCTAGTAATGGCATCAGCATGAAAATTCGCCTCCCGAAAGACATGAGCCCAAGATATAGAAGAAAATGATCGTGCAAGCAATCTGATGTCCTCGATAATAGTCTTCAATCGCCGAGACGTTCTGCACTTGTTTAAAATAGAATTGATGACAAGCTTGGAATCACCTTCAACACATATATCCTTAAAACCTTTGACTTTTGCAAACTTCAACGCATCACGTAAGGCAAGAGCTTCAGCAACAGATATAGTATTATCTCCAAGATTGCGAGTCCCAACAACAATAGGAGGCCTATTATGATCTCTGATGACAAAACCTGCAGCTGCTTGAGATCCCACCACTAAACCGTCAAAATTAATTTTGAGCCATGGCGCACAAGGGCCTTTCCACTTAATAATCTAAGAACATCCATAAACAACATCGAAATTATGAATTGATCTTGAGCTTTTATTAGTGTTGTAGTACTCACTACCAACTGTAGTAGCCACCATTGGAACTCTAGCAGGGTGGACCTTACAATTACGAAAAATCAAATTGTTTTTATCATTCCATATTTGCCAACAAATAAGGAGAGCCTTACTAAGATCAGACAATTCCACCTCATCATTAGCATTCAATTCAGATAACCAATCAATTAAATCCAACCCGACACCAACAGGGTAAGGGCTAGAGAAAATTCGCTAAACTTCTTGAGCATAGATACATCTAACAAAAAGATGTTGCTGATCTTCTTCATCAGTATTACAAAAGGACAAACATGATTAGTATTAGGAAAGAACCTATTTAATCTCACTCGAGTTTAGAGTCTCCCACGAAAGAGAAGCCAACAAAACATTTTTATCTTATGAGGAATTAACAGTTTCCACATTTTATTCAACAAAACAGCTAAAGGGTGTACTGTTTGGTGCTCAACTTGCAACCAAATTGCAGACTTAACAGTGAATTCACCATTAGTAGATGGACCCCAAATAAACTCATCTTGCCTTTCATGCAAAGGAAGAGGAATACTACATATCTTTCTTACAATATCAAAGTCCAACATACTCATTAATAAGGTCTTGTTCCAACTGTAATTAGCAATAAAATCACAACCACCCATAGATTTAGGAGTACAAACATTCTTCCAGGCCACGGGGGCCATTTTAGTTTCATTACTCCAAAGAAAAGTTATACCCTCTTTGTCCAAAGTATAAGTTATTTTATTAGGGCATTTAAAACAAGTCATGACATGATTAGGTGTAATATCCCACATCGTCTAGGGGAGGCTTACAGGATTCACTCTCTTAGATGATGTGGGATGTTACATTAGGCATGCCAGATAATTGGATTTAATTAAAGTTAGTTTGCCAGCCCTAGAAAGGGTATTTGCCTTCCAACCTGGAAGTTTCTTTTTTTTATTTTGAGAATAAGCTCTTTAGAGTTGATAGGATCTTTCCAGAAAATTATATTATGAATTCCCAAGTACTTACCAATAGTTGTTTTATGCTGAATTTGCAATATGGTAATTATATCGTTTCTTAAACTACTAGTGGTATTATTAGAAAAATAGAGAGACGATTTGTTGAAATTAATCTTTTGGCCAGCGGCAGAATAAAACTTACTGAGGGTATTCATGATGCTCCTTGCTGCTTTACATGAGGCTTTACTAAAAATTAAACAATCATTTGCAAAAACAAGGTTAGAAATTCTGAACCCTAAAGGATAAGTAAGAATACCAACCTGATTTTTAGAATTACAAGCTAACAAATTTAGTTGTCTAATTAAAGGCTCCATGCATAAAATGAAGATGTAAGACCATATCCAATGGTTGGGCTAAAAGCCAAATTTTTTAGCCCAGAAAATTTAGCTTTTAGCCTAAAAACAGCTTTTCTGCTCTAACCGTTCTAGCCTAAATTTTAGCCTGAGATTATTAAAGAATAAACTTAGGCTATTTTTTTTTGTTGAATTAAATTAAAAAATTAAATAAATATGTAGACTATAGTAAATTAATTTTATGAACATTTTAATTTAAAAAAATTTAAATTGTGATAAATATTAGGTGGAGTCCACTTCGATTTCTGGGCTAAATTTTGGGGGAATTTGGCATTAGTTTAGCATTTAGCATTTAGCCCAAAATTTCCCCTTGGGTTGGAGTGGGTTTGGAGGGAAATTTTGAGGGATAATTTGACTTTTAGCCCACCATTGAAGTTGGTCTAAGAGGATAAAATATCGCCCTGCTTGATTCCTCGTGAAGGATAAAAATAACCCTTTGTTTCTCCATTAATCAAGACAGAGAATGAGGTTGAAGTGACACACTCCATGACCAGCTTAATCCAATTGTGGTGGAAACCAAAATTACTAAGCACCATTCGAATATAGTCCCGATGAAGCATATCGTAGGCTTTCTCAAGGTCCAACTTAATGGCCATGGAACCCAACCTGCCTTTTTTATTCTTAAATCCAGAAAAAATTTCGTGAGCAATAAGAATGTTGTCATGGATTGATTTTCCTGGGGCAAAAGCCCCTTGATTTTTAGATATAATCTGTGCAAGCAGAGATTTGAGCCTAGAAATGATAATTTTAGTTATAATTTTGTAAATAACATTGCATTAATCAGTTTAAGACTTGAGGAATTATCAAAGAAATCTGTAACCAATTAAATAACAGAATGCTTAACAGTGGACCAACAATGTTGGAAAAAAAGATAGCATGCAACCCCATCAGGTCCCAGGGCCTTTAAGCTTCCAATGCCGTTCACAGCCATCCAAACTTCATCTTCAGAGACTTCCTTCGGTAAATCGATATTTTGTGAATCAGTTATGCACGGATTGACAATGTCAATAAAGCTACTCACATCACTGGGATTGGGAGTATGGGAGCAGGAAAAACGCAGTTTAAAATCCTGGACAAAAATCGAAGGATAAAAATTATGGTAATTATATATGATTTCTCATCGATGGTTGGTGGGTTAATGTTGATGGGATATTGGAACTTATGGTGTACTTACATAGATCAGTTTTCTAATTTATAACCCTACAAGAGTGTATCATAAGTATTAATAATCCCAAATAAATTCCATTACCATGTTTGTTTAGGTAATTAATTAATTTTTAAGCAAATCAAGACAAACAGATTATGAAGTTGGTAAGTGTCATATAGACGGCCGATGAGGGTTTTATTGACGAGAGCGCATCTCATGTTGCCAATAAATACATTTTTAAAAATTTATTAAATAAGATCATGTGTCCAAACAGATCGTGACTTATCATGACAATTACCAAAAAAAGTTCTAATGACGCACAAATGCAAACAACTCGTATCTAAATGTAATTTGGCCTTGAATTTTTCAATTTTGCTAAATGACACAATAATCTACGTAAGTCATTTGTAGCTCAATTGGTTAATAATATTTATTTTTGTGCTTGGGGTTCCATGTTCGAATTATCCACTCTGTATCTTTTAAATTTTTTTATTTTAATAAACGATTAGTCTCACTATGAGCTAGCAATAATTATAGGACGGAAAAAAAAATTTAAATGACATATAAATTTTTTTTTTTTTGTCATATAAAATTAAATTTTAAGTGATTTGTTATATCAATTTTTTAAAATCATTTATTTGTCATCTCACCTAGCACCGTAAAGTTTCCATTCAAAATAAGAGCACATGACTTGGTTACAAGATTATTTTGGGGTTTGGGAAGTTTAAAAATCCAAAATAATGGTGAACACAAGTAATATGTAGTGCATGTGGTTTATTTTGGATGAAAAACATAACGAGGTTAATGTGAGATGACAAAGTAATGATTTTGAAAATTTGATATAAAAAGTTCATATAACAAATTAAAAAAGATGTATAAGTATATACGTCATTAAAAAAAAAAAATCTCTTATAAAAATTGTTTGTCAATAATTAACGGCAAATTTTCTCGAAAAAATTGTTACCTAGTTGTGTTTTGTCTGGCAATTTTCGTCGAAGAACCGTTATCCGGTGATCTTAGAAAAAAACGTTTTAGTAAAAGGACTGAAAATTGTGTGAAAATTAACTTTTGGATTGTTGTCTGGTGAATGCTAATGACAGATACCAATAACTTGATGAAAAATTAAACAATAAAAATAATTAATATATAATTGCATGTTTGCACTTATAAGTTATATCTAGCCACATGATGTCTCAACTGCTGAATCCTGTGGTCGTGATTACGATGGCCTACCATGCATTGCCAAAAAAACAATTAAAATAAATAAATAAAAGAGTAGCAAATCTTTCTATATATTTGGATGTGAACAATACAATCTATGTGTATATTCCAATTTTAGCAACATGCATAAGCGTTTAACTCGAACGGACCACAACTTGGTCCTACTATTTGTGTCCCACTTATTTAAGAGTATGAACATGAGAATTAAATAATACGATTTAATACATTAAATAATGATAAGTGATCAAGAATATTTACTCGTATGTTATTTTATTATAATGTGCAAATAAATAAGGACGTTGTGACTTCTCTTGTTGCATTTAACATATTAATAATAATAAAAATATGTGGATCAAACAATGCAACATGTAAACTAATATAGGAAAAAGTTATGGGTTAGATTTATTATGCTTGTTCATATATGTTCATTTTCATGAATGAAATACATCATATTTCAGTGGGTAATTGCAATTCTCAGTATAAGTCAAATTTTGCCTACTGTTATTCGCAATTGTACCAAGAGTTTGCAAAATGACTTTGAGGCCTCGTTTGATGTCTATGATAGACTTAGATAAGATAATTTAACAAATTCGATGCATGTCAAATGAAAACATAGGGTCTGTTTGGTACTCTACTTGAATCCAACTTTTTAAACACAAAAATAATTTTTAAGTTTTAAGTATTAAAAACTTGTTTGGTAGGATTATTTTAAAAAACTAAACTCAAAATTAACTAAAAAATATAGTTTATTTTCTAAAAACATAAAAAGTAAGTTTTTAAACATAAACTTACTCTTTTTTTTCTCCCTCCTCCCCTCTCACTCCAAATCTCTCTCTCTCCTTGTTTTTTTCTTTTTTTTTTTATTACCATTTTCATCTTTCATCCAATCCGCTCTCTTTTTATCTCGGTTATTTCTCTCACTTTCTTCCTCTTTCTTATTTCTCTTTCCTTCAATCATCTCTTATTCTCTTTCCTCCTCCCTTCTCTTTCTCTCTCTCATGCGACCCCCTCTTTTTTATATCTCTTTGTTTAGTTTAAGTCATAAGATTTAAAATTTTTAAATTACAAACCAATCAAATTTTTTGAATCTTAAAGAAAATTGATTTCAAAAAATGTTCTTAAGAAATGTTTTGAAAAATGATAAAAAATTTCAAATAAAATACCAAACAGACTCTAAATGTTCAGTGCCATTTTTTTTTCTGAATGAACTTAAAAGATGAATTAGCAATGCTTAAGAGAACTCTCTCCAAAATTAGGATTCTATATCAATATTTTATAATGTTAACACGAGAATTAACGTTAAACTATAACAAATCCCTAAACATAAATGATTTACCACTTAATATCTTCCCATGCTATTCATCATATCCACTTAACATTGCAATTAATAGGATTAATTACTTAGCGTAGTAATTAATCTTCCCAAAATCCACATATATTTTTGAAAATAATATCCTTGTTGTTTAAAAACGACACGTAAATAATAGCAAATGCTTGATATACGTGCCCACCAACTTCATGACTTATTTACAATTTAGCCCTTTGCTTCAATTTGCAATTAACAATTTTTACTAATTTTGTTTGAAAAAACAAAAAAACAACTCCAAATACGACTTAACAAAAAGAAAAACAACTTCAAATACATAACTAATTCACCACTAAAAAAAACCCAAATATAAATATAATCTGTTTTCAAACAAAAAAAACAAAATAAAAATCGTTAGGGTTTGGATCTTTTAAAGAAAAAAAAAAAAAGAATTAAGGAAAGCAAGGGCACTTTAGTAAATTTAAAAAACTGTCGGCCTCTCGCTCTTAACTCTGGTTAAATCAAAACCCGTTCATATATACGGGACCGCTCCTGAGACCTCTCTGGCGATTAAGCGTCGGTGACTCGGTTCGCGACTCGTACGAGTCAACATTTTAAAGAGATAGATTTGTATTTTCATATTTATATATAAATCATGGAAACCAAACCCAATGCCTCAGCCATTTGAGGACTTTTAGAGAGAGAAGAGAGGGGAGAGAGAGAGAGGAGAGAGAGGGAAAATGGGGGATTCAAGTGATTCGGTGTCGGTGGATATGGAGGGGGTTTCTCTTGGCGGAAAGGTAAATAACCCACATTCCTGAAATTTTGTATCGTATTTTACTTTTAACAAACACGTTGTTCTGTTTGTTTGCCGAGAAAATTTCGAAATTTGTATAATGCAATATGTATTGCGTTTGATCCTGCTATTCTGAAAAGCCCAACTCTTTGATTACGAAAAATGGGTGGTGTTGAGAGGAATTGACTAATATTTTCTTGATTATCATGAACGATTGCTGCAACATTACTTTTTCTTAATTGCAGGCTAACAAATTCAGATTGTCTATTTTTGTTGTTGGGTTTTTGTTAAATTCTCTTTCTTTTGAAGAACAAAATGCATTTTTTCTCATTTGGGAGCTGAGTAAGTGAGTATATGAATCAATTATCTATAAAGTAGTTAGTAGTATAATTTTTCTGCTTTGGGAAATATATTGTATTTGGTTGGTTAGTAATTGGAATGCTGCTGATATTCTTGGAGTCAAAGAATAAAAATTCAAACTTTCATCGATGATTGCTTTGCGCCCATGTGATCAATTTTCTACTTTGTTATTAAGGGTACGAACTGCATACGATCACTCTACTTTTCTTCTTGATGGTAGTATACTTTGTTATGGTTGTTAGTGTATCATCATCTCCTCACAGTAAATAACCCGAAGGGCGCCTTTTTTAACGTGCGCGGTTTATCTCTTGAATGCTGATTCGCAGTCATATGAATGCTTTGTCACTATTGTGTTTCAATTTTACTTCCCTGAAATGTTGTCTAAATTGTATCCTGTTATGGCATCTCTATGCAGGAGCATATTGTGAGAACCGGTCTTGGTTATGTGTCGGTCGCTGTGTTGGGAGATCCGGACAAGCCAGCTCTTGTCACGTATCCTGATTTAGCCTTAAACCGTAAGTGCAGCATAGCTTAGCTACCGATAATTATTGTTATGATTGGTTGTACATTTGGTTTGTCTTTGTCTTGCATACGTGGACGTGTGCTACTCATGAAATTAAAATTCATTGCCTGGCAGTTTTGTTGATTGATCTTACCCATCATTTTCAATTCCAAATTTTTTAATAGAATCAAATTGCTCATAACCCTGAAATATTATGTGTAGTTAGAAAATACGTTTGATCAATTTCTATCACTGAAATTTATTTGTTATGAGTGCAGTTTCCTAACTAGTTTGGTTTTGCTTTCTTCTTACTAAATTGGAGAAATTCTGTCTTAATTTTTTACCAACTTCAGACAAGTATTTAAAACCTCGAGCATCATGGATTATCTCCACCAAACGCTTCAACGTCGTTGTTTCTTTTCGTGACATTAAGATCCAACTTATCATTTGTCTTATTATCTGATTTACCAGATATGTCCTGCTTTCAAGGATTATTCTTTTGTCCAGAAGCTTGTTCCTTGCTGCTCCACAACTTTTGCATATATCATATCAGTCCTCCTGGCCATGAGGTTTGTAAATCAATAACTTGACTACATATATGGCTTCCACTTGATTTTTATGACTACACCAGTCTAATTTTCTCTTGTATTTGAGTGCTATTTTTCACATCGTATCTTATCTTGTGCTTTCTTCAAGAACTTGTTCAGTTGGGAGCTTCTGCAATTAGCCTTGATGATCCGTTGTATTCTGTTGATGATTTAGTAGATCAGATTGCCGAGGTTCTCGACTTTTTTGGGTAAATGAAATTTCCATTTCATGTGAAACAAGAACTTGCTTTGGAATGATCTGAATTAAATGCCTGTTCATTAGAATGCTTCTGATTTAGTGTCTTTACTCCCATTTACTGAACCCACGCAAATAAATAATCTTCCTTCTATTTAGATGATTGAAAAATGAAGGTAGTTACCCTGATCTCTCTTTCTCTCTCCATAGACTCGGTGCAGTGATGTGTATGGGAGTTACAGCTGGAGCTTTCATTCTCACCCAATTTGCTGTAAGATCTCTTGGCACAGTGCAGATTGGTGCTTATATGTGTTCCTTATCTTTCAATAAGTCCTTAATCGTCTGATTTTCCTATAACTCTTGGCAACAGATGAAATATAGACCACGTGTCATGGGTTTGATACTTGTTTCACCCATATGCAAAGCAGCCACTTGGACAGAATGGTTGTATAATAAGGTTTTTTTTTTTCTCCCCTTCCTGGATGTATAAATTTGTTGGGTTTAAGGAAAATCTGGTTCTCACATGACATTTAATATCGTTTTCAGGTGATGTCGAATTTACTCTACTTTTATGGCATGTGCGGGGTGGTTAAGGAGATATTGCTTAAGCGGTACTTCAGCAAGGTCTGCCACTGTTAGTTGAACTCACATATATTTTTGTCCCGGCATCTATTTTGGTTTGATTGTTTAAGTTTTAAATCCTGGCTGCAGGAAGTTCGTGGTGGTGTTCAAGTACCAGAGTCAGATATAGTTCAGGCATGCAGAAGAGTTAGTGTTCTAGCCTTTTTTATCTTCTTTTATTATGTTACGTTCCATGTCTGTATAAAACCAACGATGATGGTGGTTAAGTGCTGATCTCATGTCTAATGTCTGTATGCTCTTACAGTCACTTGATGAAAGGCATAGTTCGAATGTTTGGCGATTTCTTGAGGCAATGAATGGGTAAATTCTATTCCCGAGATTTCTTTCATATTTGTATTTTATGATCAAATCCCAATAACAAACCACCCACTTAGGAAGGGGTTGTCCCCGGCAGACAAATTATCAGCGAGATATTAGCAATCACTGTGGCATTCTGTAGTGTTAACTGCACAAAATGCATACAGGATGTCCAATTATAACCACTTCATAATCGGAGTTTGATGCATTAGGTGGCATGGAATTAATTCTATTTTTAATTTCTCGTAGGAGACCTGACATTTCTGAAGGATTGAGAAAGCTACAATGCCGTTCGCTAATATTTGTTGGTGACAGCTCTCCGTTTCACTCAGAAGCTCTCTACATGACTTCAAAACTAGATAGAAGATATAGTGCCTTGGTTGAGGTATGCAACCCGGCTAATTTCTACGGTCATATCAAGTTTTAGTCGTACTTTTCCATGAATATAGTGTAAGCTCATTACTGGACGTGTGGGTGACCTGCAGGTTCAGGCATGTGGATCAATGGTGACAGAAGAGCAGCCGCATGCGATGTTGATACCGCTAGAGTACTTCCTCATGGGATATGGTTTATACAGGCCTTCTCAGTCCAGTGTCAGCCCAAGAAGCCCCTTGAGTCCGTCCTGCATTGCACCTGAGCTTCTTTCACCAGAAAGCATGGGCTTGAAGTTGAAACCGATAAAAACTCGAATTCCTCGTTCCTGAAAGGAGTTGAAAAAAGGGTTTGCGAAAAACGCTTCTTTTCTGTGAGTTTTAGATTTCACTTAGATTTTGGGGGTTGAAAAAAGGGAAGGGGATTAGCGGTTCTGTAGATATCTAGAGCGAGAGAGAGAGAGAGAGAGAGAGAGAGATACAGGGGATAATATCCAGATATAATTCTTTCATTTGTAATCACAACTGTTAGTTGAGGAAGGGGAAGGTCTAGTTTTCTGTATATCGTCGAAATAAACATTTAGTTACAAACAAAAACGTAAATCTCAATAATGATATAAAATGGATGATGATCTTGTGTTTTGTTCGTGTTCTCGAAGTGGGTTTTCTGTATATTGAGCGATTTTCTTCTTTTAGTTTTACTTTTTGTTCTTCTCCTAGTTATGATACGTTGATTCAACAGAGTGCCCGACACACCTAAAAGATGCTTATCTTTAGTTGTACCACAAATTCGACAAGTTACTTAAAGTTAGGTAAATACCGGCTTTCGTTTTGGTTTTATTGATGTGGCACATTCAACTTTAAATGGTGGATCATGTGTCACCCCAGGTAGCCATCTATCTTGGCACAAAATATGACTCGATTAATCACCCTGCGATAAAAGGGAGGGACTTGGTGGAGTCTGTCATGGCCTGCATGATATATATATGGCCGGGAGCATCTTTGCTTATCATCACTAACTTAGATTAGATGGATTCTTACCATCATTCTAGAAGATTGCCACGTGTCCTATTACTGACGGGTAGTGCTATGTACAATTATTTTTACCTTTTACATATCCTTTTCAATTTTTTACGGTTGGATGTGCCACCATGACTCCACATCAATTTTTGGCGGTCGGATGTGCCCCCACGACTCCACATTAATCGTCCCACTACCGCGGCTATCTTTTGAAGAAGATGACCTGAAAAAATCACCGCCACTACGATTCCTTGGGCTTGCGATGGCCATGGTCAGAGACAAAAGCAAGGGAAAAAAAGGTCATATCTTCGTCTAGTATGCGCCTTCCCAATCCTATGGCCATTTCTTCTGCGCTGCATATGGTCACATGGAGAAGAACATGGGTTAAATAGAAGGATTTATCAAATGCAAATCAGTTTTAGAGATTAGGTGTGGGGCGGGGGAGAGGGAGAGGGGGAGAGAGAGATAAGGGTGAGACGGGTGAAGGAGAGAGAAAGTTGGCTGCCGCGGGCAAGTTGAGGTGGCCGTTTAATATGGAAGTTAACTAGAATTAGATGAAAGGGCACAAGGCAGAGTTTAAGTTGTATGGTGAGCATTCATTATAATTTATGGTGGTGTGGAAAAGTGCACCTAAATGGGTAGTGCATGATTATTTCTCATTTCTTTTACATGCCGGGTGTTTTTTTGCCGTTGTTTGGCCGGCAAGATTAAATTTTTATGTTGTTAAACTGTGAATTTGTATTATTAAATTTTTATGTTGTTAAACTGGTAAAGCTAAATCATTCCGTAGACGTAAAGGTACACAACAAAGATGGAGCCAAAACAAGTAGGAAATATGGATTGGTATTTTTGGTGCCCCAAATCCTAACCACTGGCAAGGAATTGTTCCCACACCCTTAGGATTAAATCAGTCGATCAGAATAATGCGATTACTTATTTGTACCTAAGTTCTAATTTCCCTATTTGTAAATTACAGTAATTTATAATATCGTCTTGTTAAACAATTACTGGCGAGGAAGCGGAACTGGGAGGGCATTTTGAAAGGCATCATAGGCAGAGGCAGATATCGAACTGCTTTGAGACTTGCAATCAATTGGAACCAAATGATTACTTCTCTCTTTGCCAGACTTGTCTCCAATGAAGAATGCCTTCACTGTGTTGAGCAAAATAGTCCCGAGCTCATCGCACTCGTTCCACTCGTAAATCTTTGCCTTGGTAAGCAAGGGATTGGCAGAAATCAAATCCCAGATTGGATAGTTCTTCCTCGGCAACAGAAAGTCTCCTTCTTCAAGCTTCAAACCCGCGCAAAAATCGGGAGCTCCATCTCCAACATAGATGAAATGCTTCGTCCCATCTGCTGAAACAGAAGCTCGGATCTTTCCCATCATTAAACCCTGCAGCAAAAAGTTAAAAGGCATAGGATCCCAAAAGCGCTTTTGGAAAGTGCTTTTAAATGACTGAAAGTACTTATGAGGAAATGTGATTTTGGAATTCAAAAACATTTTCTCCAAAAACGCTTTTAAACATTTTAAAGTTTAAAGTTTCCCAAACGAGGAGGACTACTTAGGGCTGATTTGGTATTGCTGTGCTTTGAAAAAAAACTACTTTTGCTGTGCTGTGAGAATAAGCAGCTGTGAAATAAAGCAGCAGAGTGTTTGGTAAACTTTTTTGTAAAAGTGCTTTTGAGAAGAAAAAAAAAACAGTATTAGAGTGTTTGGTAAACTTTTATGTAAAACAGATGTGAAAAAAAGCCGATTTTTCAAAGCTGGGTTTTGCAGCTTCTTGTTTTTGGCTTTTTTTCATCCAAAACTGTGAAAAAAAGCTGAAGCTGAGTGTTTACCAAACACAAAAACAGCTCCCAGCTTTTTTTGATAGCAGCTTTTTTCAGAATCACCTCAGTACCAAACCAGGTCTTAATGCTTCCTACAAAAGCACTTTGATTTTTAATAAAAATTTCGACAAGCTTATTACAAAATACTTCTAGTAAAACCGTTTGTAAGTAGAAGTGTTTTTTTATAAAACCACTCCACGGAGCCCTAGTTTACCTTGCACATGTTGGGAGGGCAAAGAGTGCAGCCATGGGAAGACGAGATGAAATCATGGAAAGGCAAGATTCTCAGCTTGCCTTGTTCATCAATAAAACTAGGGTTTGTCTTGATTTCTGAGAAGCAATCCCTTATCCCATGATGCTTCAATATTGCGTCTATGAAAAAATCATTTGCATCACTTAAAACCCTCAGATCACACCTGCATATATGTGTGACAATTATAAATTACAGAAAGTATGAAAACGATTTCCGCACATGGTTCTTTTTACTTTTTACCTTTGAATTAAATAAATGAAAGAAAAATCAAACATGGATATCCAAAAGGAGAAAAGAGTGTGCGAAAACATAACATAATTTATGTTCATAAGAAGATGAAATTACCCAAAAGCATGGGCTGATTTAATTGCAGAGACAATGTTGGGATGGATTGGAACCCTCTTTAAGCACTCCGAAATGTCCTGAATTGTCTTTCTGCGTGCATGAAGCTCCGTCATCATCCGATCCTGAACATCGAGTTAGTAGTTACATACCGCTGCGTGTTTGAAAATTCGTTATCATATAATTAGTACCATTAATTAAACAGACCATAAGAGGGTTCCAAGTCATGGTAGGGAGGAGCTGAGTGAACAAGTCCTTGACACCCAACTCGTCCACGATCCAGTTGTCGCTGTCACAGTTGATGATCGTCTTGTCAAAGTCGAAAACAACCACCATCCCCGCCGCCATTGCTCCGAAATGATCAAAGAGAGGGCAATAGAAGCAGTGTGTTAATTGTGAGACAAAGAGGAGGATTAGCCTTACTGTGTTTTTATAGGGTTGCTTAGCAAAGTGGTTACAGCTTAGCAAGCACTACGTCCCTAGCTTTTGGGATGTAAAGGGGAAAGAGTACGCAGTAACTAGTCAGCACTTATTTAGTGGACGATGTTCGTGTCCTGCTTGAATTCTAACTCTTGATTCGAATCCTATAAGAACAGTGCACTTGCATACTTTTGACAATGCATAAAATGTTATATATTCTGAGTGCTGCAAATTATAACCGAACATGCAAATAACAGTCTGACACGTAAAAAATATAACTCAAATCATAGTGTGATGCATAAAAACACATGACTCATTAAAAACGCAAGGAAAGTTCATGGACAGTACAAAATATTTTTTTCGAACGGATTTCATTAAGAAGGAATCTGCACACTTTTTTTTCTCATGCACATCCTCATTTATTTCCAACTTAGATCAAACAAAAATCAATGGACATAGATTCAGAAGAGTTCAGAAGAGTTCAGATGAAGAAAACGAGCGTGGAAAATCGTTTTAAATTAAAGTAATATTTGACTTTTAGTTGTGTTCTTTTGGTTAACAGAAATATATACTTTAGAACCAAGAGTAGGCATTGATCAGGACTTAAATTCTGCTTTTCCTCACAAGAAAATTACTCCTTAAAACTTTTAACTTGCATACAGGAATATACACTTGTAATAATGCTGTGGAATATTTGCATTGTTTCCCTACATAATGATCCAGATGTGCCCATTCCTTCCATTTGCTATGTACCATTTAAAAACCTTCAATTCACACCAAATTTGTGGTTGTTAATCCTAATGTGGTGGCTTCTGTGGGTTCTCTCGAGATTTTCGTTTTGACGGGTCTTTCTTCGATTCATCTCCGAGTACATTTCCTCAATCATCGGTTTCCATAGCCGGACACGGGCATTTATAAACCAATTGGATACCTATTATAGCCAAATATGCAGAATAAATGAGTTCTTAGAAGCGATGGATTCAAATTCCTAATAAAATCAGTGATCACATACCTGGTTTCTTGTCAATCCACTTTTTACTGCAAGAACATGCTTCTCCGAATCTTTAGGGTACCTGAAAATTGATTAAATAGACAAGACATGCTATAGTCTGAGCTCATTCTTGAAGACGGGTATTATAATAAGCCAAATTCTAAGACATGTTCATTTTAGCTCACGGATGAAGGAAGTTCTGAAACATCCATGCACGTAACACTGAGACGGATCTTTCAGGCAAACCTCTCTGAGGTCTCCATATTTGATGTTCTTTCTTCTTTAGATGCTGAAGAGCCAATTGCTTATGGAATTCAAAAGACCTTTCGCTCTCATTGGGGGATGCAGGGCTTGAATTTTCACTTATCAGAAGGAAATGCGTGCTAACCCGCTCCCTCAGACTTTTATACAGCACAGAGATAGTTTGAAGCACAAAACAAGCGTGTAGATGAGGATCTGTCTCAGTTGCAGCATGAAATGCTGATAAAACTGTATGAATCTCATCGACACATTGGTTGTAGCAGTCATCGAGCTGCATCAGAAAGAATAATATCAATCTGTTAAAGCGCCCAAAAACTATTTCTAAGTCCCAACACATTCGAAAAGAAATGTTTCAGAACAGGAAAATTCGGGGTTTCTACACCTTTTGGATATAGAAAATTTAATTGACAACCAAATCAGATAATTTAGACTAATTAATAGCACAACACAACTACATACCGTCTGTAAAAGGGCCAGCAATTTGGTTTTCTTCGTTTTGATTTCCTGTTTTCGCAATGCAGGCTCCCTAGGTACCTCAAATCTACCATCTAAATCATCATCCATTGCCGACATCCCTCTCTCAGACACGAGCCTGGCAGATGAAAAACTTGACTGGTCTAGATTTTCTAAAGAATAGTTTGCGATATCAGAAAGTATTTCCTGAACCACATGAAGATATCTTGATCCACATATTACTTGGGATAACTGAGGAGGTTTGCAAGAACCGTAACTTAGGGAAAACTCCTCACTGTTGCTAGAATATTGCTCTGGTGAGGTAAACCTTGTTTGATTCAGACAAGGTTGAGCAATCCCTGAAGAACCAACATCTGAACATTGATTTCGGATTTCCAAAGGCCTGGACGTGGCAAGAGTTAGAGCAAGCTCGTTGCTAAATTTGGAGGAACTGGAAGAATTATATGTCATCACACTTGCACCATCTGATGATAACCATCCATTTGGATCCACATTTCCAACGGATGAATATGTTTGAAGCCCTATTCTTACTGAAGATCCATCACCAAGTTCCAAAGGAGCTGCGTACTTGTTGATCTCCCACTGTCTATTTATGCTACCAAGCATTTCATCATATCCACAATTCACAGAGGCCGCGAGCAGAGAATTGGAGTTGTTAGAGCAGTCATTCAAAACATAAGCTTCTGAAGAATTAAATGGCATTGCTGAAATTGCTAAATTGTTGAGATTTTCTTGAAGAATAGTACTACCCCTCGCCGCGAACAGGGCAGCAAGCGAGGCAGAAGAATGTGGTGTTGCTTGGAACACCGTATTATCAGCGAAACTTGAACTGACGAATGAGGATTCTCTCACATTGCTCCCTCTTTGAGAAATAAGAAATGGACTCGATTCAGCCACACTAACGCAGTTTGCGTTGTTAAGATCAGAATGAGAATCCATGACAAGTTCTCCATGAAAGGTTGAAAGCACTGGAGGCAAAGCCATCATACGGTTTTGGTGATTGAGATCAAATGAATAGGACTGTACAAGTGAGTTCACTGTGGTGTGTGGTACAACCCCATCCATGACTAGAGAATTTTGACTGTCCGCCGGAACATTATACATCTCATTATCCATCATATCACAGGGAAACAAATTTCACATTTCATTTGGCATAATTGAAAGATCGGGAGATATATATTCTTTCAGCCAACTATCTTCCAGATGAACTGATCAATTTCAATCAATCTTAGCCTGGAAAAATTTAAATTTCTTCCACCTACATTTCAAAGTTTAAATTCAAGTAAATAGCATGAAGCAGTTTGTCAGATTAAGTGCATGCAAGTAACAATTCTTTCACAGAACGGAATTTCTATAGACCAATCAATTGAAAGAGTTAACCCAACACAGTTTCTTTTCATTCGAGTGACATTATAAATTAATCTAAACTATGAAGAAAGCGATTAGTAACTTGGTCCCAAAGGCGGAAGCATGCTGCCCTAATCAACTTGACTATATCAAAATGCTTAAACTCAGTGATAAATTTAACAAAACTGAGAACTTAATCATGCAATCAGTAGCAAATTACATGAAAAAAAAGAAGATTAAATGCAAACACTAAGGTAAACATTTAACATAATAATTAATTAACAGTTTATAAATTAAATACCGCAATCAGTAACAAACAAACTATGAAAGTAACAAACCTGAGAATGCAGATTCTTCCCCAGCAAACCTTCTCTGTAGCAAAACAAATTTATGAAAAATCTCCACGCCGATTCATGGTTTTTTTCCCAAATCAGACCCCCAAAAATTCGAATGAAAAGAAAGATGGGGAATGTTGATTGACACAGAATGTATGTATACTTCTCCTAGCAATAATAATTAATAAAACCAGAAAGCTTACAAAAGATATGATTCTTTTGCTTTGGCCTTAAAAGCCTAAAAGGAGTACAATGAAAAAAAAAAGGGTGGGAGAATATGCAGTGGTGAGCAACTTTGTTCCCTTAACCAAAAAGGAACAAGAAGAAAAAGCTAACTCCTTCCCTCCCACCTTTCTCAAATCACAAGAAATATAAAAGCAACACAAAAAGTTGAAGTCTTTTGTTTTGGATGAACAGAAAAGTGGGGGACTTTTTTTTACTTGCAAGCTAAAAACCAAAACCCAAGAGACTGACACAGTTTCAGGAATCAGGAGGACCCATCATCTCTCTCTCTAGCTTGAAGCCACGAGATTTAAAGGAAGAAACAGAAATGGGTCTGAAATATAGGACACCCATCTCAGACAAACCCAATAAAAGAAACAAGGAGAGGGAGAGAGTGGAAACGCCAAAGAAAACTAAAACCACAAATGAAACTTGAGAGAGAGAGAGAGAGAGGAGACGTGTCGAAAAATAGAGAGTAAAAACCTCCTTGCTTTTTATCTGTTTTTGACCCCCAAAACCCTGATTGATTGAGAACAAGAGTAAATGCGGCAAAGAGGCTCTCAAACTTTCTCCTCAGAATCCAACACTAATGGCTTAAAAGCAATCTGAAATGTGACAATGCTGATGACATTGAGAGAGAGAGAGCCAATTCACTGTGACAGCAGCGCTCGCAGTGTACTTTTGTACACATGCAGAAGGGACGAAGGAAAAAAAAAAAAAATTAAAACAGACAGTGCTGATGCAAGCAAAACCCCAAAATCTCTGATCAGAAAATCTTGATAAATTTATGAGTGTAGTTACAAATCACACCGACTTTTTTCCTTTTTTTGCATGGATATCCAAACTTAAAGTATTTAATCCTATGGCCTAATTATTTTATAGACTGCATTATTACAATGTAAGTAGGGTTTTAAAAATCTAGCAAATAATGATGAGAATCTGCGGAAACTGGAGATGAGAGATACTACGATGATGAACAGTGGGTTTGGTGCTTGAAGTGATCTTGTTTGAAATTCTTGGATCATGAATTTAATACTGATAAATAATTAAGTAATTTCCTTTTTCTATTGTGTAAAATATTTCGAAATTATAGATACTGGGGTCCCGACGATGTGACAGTACATGCAACCTGCTCTGAGATTTTGCTGGCCAAGTTCCAATACATGATTTGGCGGATACAAAGTAAATACACTCAAGTAATGAACGACGAAAAACTCATGTCTTTTTTCTGACTTACAAGGATAACTTACTTGGAACATTTATTCTTATTAATATAACGTTTTTATGTACTAACATATATCAATGACACGAGAAATATCATGACTAGGACTTGTATAATATGAGTATATTAATACATTTATGACCGCATTTGTGCCATACAATTAGTTTTTTCTTCGTCCCTTTTGCTGGCCTTTTGCCGTGGGGTTCAGGGTTGACATTTAAGCCACACGAAAAAAGCACTGGACCAATTATGCACCTAATTTCTGCCCTCCAAAAATCTCAATGACCCTCTCTCTGTCTCTCTTTTTTTTTTTTTTTTTTTTTGGCGAGTCTTAACAAAACATTTTTGGTACTGTTCACTTTTAACATCAAAGATATTTTTACTTTAAAAAGTCACTACTGGTACTATTCACTTACAACACATTTTTGTCATTTTGATTAAAATTCAAAATTTTCGAATCATTTTTATTAGTTTTCTTTTTTTTTATTCGTGCAAAAATTAAAGGCAGAGATTTGTCAATTTTTTTGCTGGATTTAAGCTCTCAGCCGCTTCTTTAATATGCACGAAAGCTATGTAGAAAAATATACGTTTTTTGTCAAAAAATAAAGAAAAATATACGTCCATTATGTATCATCAACTCGGTTGATACAGAGGATCAAAAATATATTAGATGCCGTGAAAGTTATTTAATTAGGATTCGTTTGAATAGTTTTCATAGCAAAAACACTAGTGTTCGTAAACACTTATGGTGAAAATATAATGTTTCATGAAAAATTATTAGAAGTGTTTTAGAAAGAAGCATCTAGTAGGTATTTCTCTATAAAATGACTAAAACGTATTTCTGCTTTTTTTGTCAGACACAATAAAACCTTTTATAACTCAGAAAAAAAGTGCCTTCACTCTTTTCAGTCGATAAACAATCTCAACTGAGTAGAATAACTTGGTCTGATCCGATGCCATAAGAATTTTAGAGCATCCAGCTTCCAAACAAAACTTTACATTCTCAATGTACCTAGGATTATATTACATATGAACTATTTGTTTAATTAATCGAAGACAAGTTTCAAGATAGTACGGGTCAAGTCTCGAGGAGGCCGGTGGAACCCAATAAGATAATAAGAATAAAATGCTTATAATATGTTGAAACGGAAAAGGATGCTCATCGGATTATTTTTCTAGGGATCTGTTGTGATAATGATTGTTCATCATATATCGTGCGGTTATAAATTATTTAAAATTTAAAATTTAAAATTAAATATAAATAGTACTTAAAAAAACTGAACGCACAATGTACGATCAACGATTATAATCAAGAAATCTTTGAATTCCCAAGAAAAGAATCCGACGAGAATCATTTTTCTGTTGAAACCAACCAACCAAAGTGCTTTTGCTCTTGTTATTTTATTGAAGAGAGAAATATGATAACATTTAAAAAATAATATCCCCCATAACATATCTCGAATATATCCCAATGTCCAACTATTACGAGGTGGTTAGTGATTGAAGGTGAACTTCATGCTCGTATTTTATATGTTACATTTTGGGTTCAATTTATGACGATGGTGGCCAGAAAACATTTAAATAACTTTGTGAATCTTTCTGACCTCGAAAAAAATAGACTACCTTGATGAAGCTACCATTTATATCTTCGGATCTCTTTCACCAAATCCTACGGATCAAGTGATCTGAACCCTTGAAATTTGATTTAACGACTAAAATTATTATAACTTTTAAAAGAGATCTTTATTTTTAACTGTTAGATCAAATTTCAAAGATCCGGATCACTTGATCCGTGAAGTTCGGTGGAAGAGATTAGGATCTCTTTCCCATCCCCGCAAGCAAATAAAAATATACATATTTATCAAATCCCCAACCGTACCAAGTGAAATAAAAATCATAAAATAAAAAAGAAGAAATGGGAACAATATTCAACTTGCATCAAAATTAACAGCAATGCACTAACCACTAAAATTTGATTTTTATTTTTATTTTTTTATAAAAAAAATATAATAGTCAATTCATGATTGATCATGTCCTCCTCCAGTGTTGCCATGCACATTCGCCGCCATAGCCACCACTCCAAGCTTTTGCAAGTTCAACTTGATCACAGTGTCCGCAAACATCTTTGTATCCTCCCCGGTGTTCCCTTCTGGTATGTCCACCACATACGACTCCAAGACAATCGAGTACACTTGATTATTCCCCTCCTCACCTTCGCAATTAACGAACTCATTGACCGAAGTAACCGACCTATAGTTATTAAGCCTGTGCTCCCCTCCCACAACTCTAAAGCTTATTATGTGCTTCTCGTCGTCCAAAATCTCCAGCCTCTCGGTGCTCGTCGACGCCGGGAGCCCCGAAACCACCATCACCTCCCTTATGCTCCCAACTCCGCCGTCGCCTTTCATGTTGCAGCTCTTGATGAAGTGCTTGTATTTTTTAGGGTTGTCGAAGTTCCGGACCAACGGCCAAATTTGCTGTGCCGGAGCTTCGATTTTCTGCGTTATTAGCGACGTGCATGTGTTCGGCGACGGCTCGAATTTGTGGTACGTGTCGATGAGCCTCCAGCTCGGAAAACTCAGCTAGGGTTAGACCATATGGCGGAGCGTGGCCAGCATCCATGTTTGTTTGCTCACACGTGTGAAAAAACCAACACGGAATTAATTAGAGCATAGAAGGAGAAGAAGAAAATGAATGAGAGCTAGTGGTACTAGGGCAAGTGAACCATCATATGAACACGAGAGTGGGGCACATTTATGCTTGGAGGTATTTTTCTTTTAGGACGGATATGCCCTTGAGATGGATTTTATTTTATTTTTTATTGAGTGGCCACTGGCCAGTGGGATCTATCTATATATGGAGAAATTTTTTAGATTTTTCGGTAATACGGTCTGAATATAAGATGTATTTTACAAGTGATTGAAACTTTTTTTCTTAAAATATCCAATCACTTATATTATGATCTTTAGTGTACAGAAGTATATTCTTGACATATTGAAAAATCGCTCCTTTATGACAAATGCAATCATCTTTTACTTAAAAACTGTGTTTACTTCCAAATTAAGAGAATTAATAACTGCTTTATTGAGAAATGTCTTGGTTTAGCCAACGTCCGAACCTGGATGATACAAAAAGTTTGCTAACTGGCTGGCAAGCAGCCAAGAAGATGAACATGAGGTGGAAATTTCGTGAAAGCATTGTTTATATTTTTGAAATTTGAATAATACCTCATCAAAGTGGTTAGAATAATATTAGAGTACATAAGTTGGGAGCGCGATGATTCATCTTCCGTAGTTTCCAGAAAAATCTCGGTTTTTAAATAAAAATTCTGGCATGCGTTGTCAAAATAAAATTTTAATGGTATTTTTATTCTTAATGGTGCTAAGAGTTTTTTATTTTTTATTTTTTTTAATACAACGATATTTTATAAGAAAAATTAATGAAAAGAGTTTCAAAACTTTGAGTTTTAACAAAAAAAACCATCATATAACTTTATTTAATGATAAGGACAAGAGAAAGAAAAAAACAAAAAACAAAAAAACAAAAAAAACCTAAATAAAGGCACTTATAAAGAGCACCCAACCAATCTTTCAGTTGCATAACCCTTTGACATAATCCAAACATATTTTATTCCTCTAAAATTAAAATTTCAAATTGAAGTGGGTTCCATTCAATTCAGAACTACATCTGTGGCGGTATGGTTGGGAGGGAATCGGTTAGGTGTGGTGACGTGCCCTAATTCCAATGTCCAAATGACAACGGGATGGCCACGTGCTGGCCGACTCCCAAGGGTGACGTAAGCCATTTCATGAATGCATATGCTGAGAACATGAGGAACATGCATAAAAATTTCATACGGAACCACGTAATATAATATTCAAATACAAACCTTAATAAAATATAGTAATCAACTGCCAACACATTTAAAAGTGATAATGCATGACATGTTCAAAGCATACTAGTAATTCGAAATACAAGTGGACGAAATATTAGAAAATGCGATTTCAAGAGATGTCTTACGCAGAAAGGAGGACACAAATTCACTAATATGGGAATGCCTTGTTCCTAGGTCCTTAAGGGGGCACAAAACAAAATATGAGTGGACCAAGTTTATATATAGTAATACTAAATCAATTACTCTTCAAATGTACTAACCCCCAATTTTAGAAAAACTCTAGCATGCCATAAAACCTTCATAAAACATATATCGTATATAATGTGTTTAGTAGTGGTATCACAATCGCTTGAAGGCATTAAATCGCCCACCTGAAGGCATATATATATATATATATATATATATATATATATTCCACTCGAAGGCACTACATCGCCCGCCCGAAGGCATATATTTTATAACGACCCGTCCCAAAATTTTACAAATTTCAAAACAACAAGGGCAATTTTATAATTTCACTTTGCTTAGGATATTTATTTTAAATGTTGTGTTTGGGGGATCTTGTAGTGTGAGCCACTAGGACCCACGAGTTGTCTTGTGTCCCCTATCTGTTTCCCTATCCCCGTCAGTTTCTTCTTTCATATTGGACTCTTTCTCAGCTATCTCTCTCTCTCTCTCTGCATATGCCGAGACACCAAACCCAGTCACCACCCTCGCCGAAACGGCGAACACCACCGCCACAAACCTAGGCTAGTCACGAACCACCACCTACTGCCATGATTTCCTCTCCATCACTCCTTATCTCTGTCTCTCTTTCTCATTCTCTATGAAACACTGAGACACTAAACCTAGCACACCAAACACGCCGGCGAGTTCCACCTTCCCCGACTAAGTAAGGCTAGGAATACCCTTGATCCTTCTTTCTTCTCAATGTCCTGGGTTGATTTAAAGACTATAGGTATGTTTTGATGACGTTTTGTGACAGAAAACACCTTAGGGAGATTTTCCCAGATACCGGTGAGAACCCAAGCCGTCCAGGTCATTTTCCAACCAATTTCGACCACGGTTGGCCATGAGATAGGTATAATATTCTTCATTGTTCCTTGGGCCTCAATTTGGTATATGGAATAACTAGTTTTAATTAAGTTTTAGGGATGAACGGAGCTTGGAAAGCTTTAGCTTTCTTCTTCGTGGAGACCGGTTAACTCACGACCTGAAACCAGGTCGACCAACCTGCAACCCAAAACCAGGCCTAACCCAACAACCATGCCCAAACTAACAACCTAGATCCAACCTGATCCGGACTCATTTCCAGATTTCGTGGGTGGCGCGTGGAAGGCTACCATGGTCGGCGTGTGGTGCATATGCGCCTCTGTTGTCATCCACGGCGGTGCCGGTGAATTTTTCGATGACCCATCTCGGCGCGTGTAGTGATGTGTGACCTCCCGGGCGTCGCCCCGTACGCGTGGATGAACTTAAGGTCCCCCATTAAGTTTTTCGATGTCCTGAATTTGAATTCGACGTTTGGTTTCCCAAATTCAATCGTTTTAGTAGAGTTTTATTAATTGATCCCTTGATGTGCTTAAATGTATTTGTCAGTGATGAGCCCGTTTTCTAGTTTGCACGGCTCCTCGGCGATAGAGTATCTGTAAGTAGACCCCTTCCAAAATGCATGATTTTAATTACTAGAAATGCATACATGAAAAACATGATTTTATGACTACGTTTTATGAAACGTTTATGAGTAAATCAGATTTACGCTTTATGAATTATCATGCTTTATCGAATTTATGTTTACTAAGATATTTATGAATATGATTTATGATATGATGTTTGAGCTATTGAGGCTCTGATGAGATATATTTTGGAAGGATTGTGTTCATGATTTTCAGTGCTTACTTAGTGGATATTCATACATATATGCCTTCGAGCGAGTGATATAGGGCCTTTAGACAAATGGTTTATATATGCCTTTGAGCGGGTGATGTAAGACCTTCAGGCGAATGATATTTATATATATGCCTTCGGGCGGGTGATGTAGGGCCTATGGGCGGAAGATTTATATATGCCTTCAGGCGGGCGATGTAGGGCCTTCGGGCGATTGTGAAACCACTATTAAGCACACTATATACGATATATGTTTTAAGAAGGTTTGATGGCATGCTAGGGTTTTCGGAAAACCTATTACTTATTATGCTATATATGAGTTTTCTAAACCTGGGGGTTAGTACGTTGAAGAATAATTGTTTTAGTATTGCTTTTATATAAATTTGGTTCACTCATGCTTTATTTTGAGCCCCCTTCAGGACTTAGAATCAAGGCGTACAATCGCGGCGTTAAGGCACTCCTGCATCGGTATCTTCGAGTCCTCTTAGTGTAGGACCCATTCCTTTGTTCGTACATTTCATAATATTTCTTCTACAGTATTCTTGATTATTTGTATGTTCTGATCACGTTCCCACATTTGCATATTCTTTATTGTTAAAATTTACGTGTTTTATTTATGTTCATTCTTTCTTCATAACCTAAATGCATGTTAATATGGACTTCGTCACTTTCGGGTGTTGGCCAGCACGTGTCTACCCTGGTGTTTGGAGGATATCGGGGCAGGCGTGTTATATATCTTCCGTCCGAAGGCACATATATATATATATATATCCATTAAGTGAGCACATAATTTCATGAATATAATATTTTCAAAATATATACCATCGGAGCTCAATAGCTCAAACATCATATCCTAAATTCATGTTCATAAATATCTCAGTAAACATAAATTCGATAAAGCATGATATTTCATAAAGAGTAAATCCGATTTACTCATAAACGTTTCATAAAATGTGGTCATAAAATCATGTTTTTCATATACGCATTTCTAGTAATAAAATCATGCATTTTAGAAAGGGTCCACTTACATATACTTTGTTACCAACGTGTCATTCAACAATAAGGAGGACCGGGTCACCTCAAATGACACACCAAGTTGGGACCGAGTGGTGGTCGGAGTTGGCCAGAAAATGGCCGCAAACTCGTTGTCTTCGCCAGAAAACTGGGTAAGTTTTCACGTGAGTTTCCTTCACTGGAGAATGTTGGTGAACAGTGATGGTGTAGAGGACAGAATAAGGAGTTTGGGGGTTTCCTCGTTCGTGGTTTCACCTAGGGAGGAAGTGGTAGTAGTGGTGTTATTGATATTGTTGTTGTGTGTGGTACCCTTAGGGAGGGTTGGTTCGAAGAGAATGAGAGGGCCGATCGGTGATGGAGAGAGTTTTGAGAGAGATAGAGGGAAGTGACAGATAAAAGAAAAAGGGAATGGGGATGCATGGGTAAGGGGGAAAGAACAAGGGGACAAGTATCCAAAGTGGGTCCCAATGGCTCACAAATTAAGGTCACAAGAGACGAAACGAGGAAAGCTTGAAAAACGTTTGACATTTCAAAACATAAAGTCTTTGTTATAACTCCAAATTCGGATCCGTTCGCGCTCATGGGTTCGTGGCAATGAGTATGATAAGAATAAAATGAGAAAATTAGTTATATGCGTTTCGACGAGATGGTCAACAAAAGTCAACATTTTTGCCACGAGGGTATTTTGGTAAATGCGCACTAATATTACAAGAACGTTAAATTAAGGATGGGGTATCACATGTGGGTTGGGATAGTTGAGGGTATGGGTGGGGCAACATCATTGACAACATCGTTGGACTCATCACCATTTTTCCTAGTAATGGTATTAAGTTATCACACATGCATAGAGGTGGAAAAAAATACCGAAAATTCGAAATCATACCGAAACCAAATCAAAAATCCCAAAAATTTTGGTACCGAAACCAAACCGATCCCGAATTGTTCGGTATGGGATCCGGTCTCACACTTTAAAATTGTTCGGTTTCCCCATCCCGAATCGAACTTTAAACCCTATTGTTATAAACTTATATATATGTTGGAATATGTATATGGCTTATTATTATATTATTAGA